TGTGACGTCAACAAGACTAAAAGACTGGTTATCATAAGGTTATCTTGGATAGTTACCTCACTTGGATAGTTGGATAGTTCTTGGTTATCTCACAACTCTACTACACAACCATGCTCATATCTCCCATCTACAAAACAGCACCACCGGCAACAATATACGGGCTCACCATAGCCCGTGCTACTTGGACCGTTTTGTTCCTTAACAACAACAACAACAACAACAACAACCGGCAACAACAAATATATGAAGTACACTATTAAGAACCTACAATATAAATTGAAAATGAGCTTTCCAATAACAATATTATTAGTAAAAATACAGTATTCAGAGCCTACAATATACCAATAATGATACTATTCAATATACTAAAATTATGAACAATTTAAATACGTGTATTATAATTAAAACATTTAATGCTAATAACAACATACCTATAAGATAAATGAACACTTCAAGAACAACACTGACATGTTAGTATCATGGTAAGATAACACACTCCTCACAACACTGACATTACACACTCCTCACAACACTGACATTACACACTCCTCACAACACTGACATTACACACTCCTCACAACACTGACATTACACACTCCTCACAACACCGACATGATAACACACTCCCCACAACACTGACATGATAACACACACAACACCGGCATGATAACACACTCCTCACAACACCGACATGATAACCACACTCCTCACAACACCGACAGGATAACACACTCGTCACAACACCGACATAACACCCTGCTCACAACATTGATACAACACCACCATTAAAAAACAATACAGACGCGATAATTGAAAAAAAGGAAACAATCATAAGCGCTAGGATACAAGGTTTAAAAATTCGTTGGCGGACCCTTTGCGTACGCTGCGAGTTATACCCCCACTAAAATTTCCCATAAGAAAGGGTGGTAAATTGACAAGATACAAGAACGTCACAAGTTACTCCTAAAATAGCACTCATAATATCTCGCGATATGCAGAGAAAAAATCAGTATCGTGGCTGAAACAAATATTTCGACACAAACTTTATCAAGCCTCGCTGGCTGTGATAGCAAGATATTCGACACAATCGTGATAAACAAAGCCTGACTGGCTTTAACAACACGATATATCTACACAATCTTGATAAACGAAGCCTCTCTGGCTGTGACAACACGATATCTCGTCACAATCCTGGTAAAGGAAGCCTCGCTGGCTGTGACAACACGATATCACGACACAATCTTGGTAAACGAAGCCTCGCTAGCTGTGACAACACGATAACACGACACAATCCTGGTAAAGGAAGCCTCGCTGGCTGTGACAACACGATAACACGACACAATCCTGGTAAAGAAAGCCTCGCTGGCTGTGACAACACGATAACACGACACAATCTTGATAAACGAAGCCTCGCTGGCTGTGACAACACGATATCTCGTCCCAATCCTGGTAAACGAAGCCTCGCTGGCTGTGACAACACGATAACACGACACAATCCTGGTAAAGAAAGCCTCGCTGGCTGTGACAACACGATATCTCGTCCCAATCCTGGTAAACGAAACCTTGCTGGCTGTGACAACACGATATCTCGACACAATCTTGATAAACGAAGCCTCGCTAGCTGTGACAACACGATATCTCGACACAATCTTGGTAAAGGAAGCCTCGCTGGCTGTGACAACACGATATCTCGTCACAATCTTGGTAAACGAAGCCTCGCTGACTGTGACAACACGATATCTCGTCACAATCTTGGTAAACGAAGCCTCGCTGATTGTGATAACACACCCACGTCACTGTACCACACACACACCCTCACATCACGATAAAATTTTCCATCAGAATCTATTATGACTTAATACAATGCATTCGCCTTTTCGTTCACAACAGTTCCCAATTTTACTTTTAATGTTACAGAAATATTGTAGCTGCATTACTCCCTTCGCCACCACTGCATTGATATACAGCTGAGAGCATTACCTAACAGCTTCAGACACGTGCATATTGCCATACTAATACGAGGAGTTTGGAGCTTCCGGGAATATTGCACGTGATGTGCTCTGGCCAAAGAACTGCACAGCATAGCCCATGCAAGTTCAATGGCCGTAGGTAAAGGTTACAAAAAAGAAAAAAAAAACTTGAGTCGACGTTCGTATCCCCCAACACTCACCTCGGGCAGTAGAGCTGGGGAAGGTGGTGGGGGGCTGTATACACCTGTGAGTGAGCTAACACACTCCCTCACGTGTTCACAGCCTGGAGTATAGTTGTTAAGGTCGTAGTGGTAGTAGTATATCCCTTGGCGAGGTAAACATTGCATCACAACACCATCCGCGTATGACGGCAAAAACGGAGAGGGTGGGAGGCCGGGGAGAGGAGGGGGGCAGGGGAGATGAGAACTCTTTAATTCGCGGTAAATACGAGCCCGATCACCAAGGTCGCGCTCACTGGCTTGGGCGGAAACACAGAGCCCAGAGAATATGCCGACACAACACAGGCTTGGCGCGAAGAATATGCTGAGCAGAGTGGGACCTCTCCCCAGTGCGACTTTTCGAACGCACGCACGCACGCACCACCGCGCTCCGAGCCAGACAGTGGCAATAGAGAGTGAGGAGAAAAGAGCCAGTAGGGAGGGAGTCCGTGAGTTGGGTGAGCGAGTGGAGGGAGGGAGGGAGAGAGGCAGGGAGGGAGGAGTGGTTAGAGCGGTGACTGGGAGGGAGGGGAGGGACGGGGCGGGAGGAAGAGGAGTTTAGAGAGCCAAGAGGAAGAGCCACAGAGTGGAAGAGCAACGCGCGCGGCTCTTAATGGCTCTTGGCTCCGGGCCCACTCCGACCCAGAGGCTTATCGACCCCCTTCCTCACTCACCACCACCACCACCACCACCGCCGCTACCACCACCACCACCACCACCGTTGTCACCACCGCCGCCACCTTTAACGCAACACTATTGCTTCCACCGACGTCACTATCGCCATCACCTTTATCAGCATCACTGTCATATATGCTGCAACCATCACCACCATTCCCCTGTTGCCGCTGCTGCCGTCACCTTCGTCGTCCTCACCGCGGTCACAATCTTCGCCGCCGCCGCCCCTCACCATCCCCACCACCACTGCCCGGTGACAGCCCCCCCCCACCACCGGCTCCTGCCTCCCCCTCTCCACACCGCTTCCATCACCACCACTCACAGCTCTCACTCTCACAACACAACCGCGCTGACGCCGCCGCCACAACCCAAGTCCCACCACCACTTCAACCACACCTGCCACGACCCAAGTCCCACCACTACCTCAGCCACACCTGCCACGACCCAGGTCCCACCACCACTTCAACCACACCTGCCACGACCCAAGTCCCACCACTGCCACACCTGCCACGACCCAGGTCCCACCACCACTTCAACCACACCTGCCACGACCCAAGTCCCACCACTACCTCAACCACACCTGCCACGACCCAAGTCCCACCACTACCTCAACCACACCTGCCACGACCCAAGTCCCACCACTACCTCAACCACACCTGCCACGACCCCACCACTTCAACCACACCTGCCACGACCCAAGTCCCACCACAACCACACCTGCACCTCAACCACACCTGCCACGACCCAAGTCCCACCACTACCTCAACCACACCTGCCACGACCCAAGTCCCACCACTACTTCAACCACACCTGCCACGACCCAAGTCCCAACCACACACCTGCACCGACCCAAGTCCCACCACTACCTCAACCACACCTGCCACGACCCAAGTCCCACCACCACCTCAACCACACCTGCACCGACCCAAGTCCCACCACTACCTCAACCACACCTGCCACGACCCAAGTCCCACCACTACCTCAACCACACTGCCACGACCCAAGTCCCACCACTACCTCAACCACACCTGCCACGACCCAAGTCCCACCACCTACCTCACGACCCAAGTCCCACCACATGCACACCTGCCACGACCCAAGTCCCACCACTACCTCAACCACACCTGCCACGACCTAAGTCCCACCACTACCTCAACCACACCTGCACCGACCCAAGTCCCACCACTACCTCAACCACACCTGCCACGACCCAAGTCCCACCACTTAATACCTGGAACACACTATGTATGACAGACGTAGTCTGTGTATTTATGTATTTGAATGTAGGTTAGATTAGCATTTTAAAAGCACTACAATCACCTTCTGTGGTTGACTGTTCAATAAGTCACTGAACATGTTCAACAGATCTCTAACCCTGTCCAAGGAGGGCAGAAGAAAATGTATATATGTTGGTTAGCATTGTAAATGTCCGGCCACGTCTGTGATGGAAAATAATACAAAAAAAAAACCAGCCACACCTGTCACGACCCAAGTCACCTCTTAAGCGCCAGGACAATACACTGCTTCAGAAAAATTGCCCATGTCATTCTTTCCGTCGCGTTCTCTATTCAAGTAGTGGAATTACGAGTTAAGAGTCAAAGAGTCCTCTCCCTAACTTTCTAACAAACAAGCACAAAACCACACCACAAACCAACTAAATCAAGAGCCACAAGCTCCCCCCCCCACACACACACAGTACAGCGTGGAGTGGTGAGGTTACCTCACAACCACTCAAAACCATGAGTCACAAGCCTCCCTCCACCAGTACTGTGTGGAGGGGCAAGACTAACCCCCCCCCCTCACACAAACACAGTACAACCTAAAAATAACACATTTTTTAATTAAATTGTCACAACTCAACACAGCTTTTTATAACTCATGGCTGTTTTTCTCTGAGATCATCCACTATGTTGGGTGACTCGGGATCGTCCACATGACTCAAGCGTCCACACCACCATACGAGCATCTGCTTGAGTGCTTGAGGTAAAGAACTGGAACCGGTTAAGTTATTCAGTGACATGTCCCCCCCCCCCACCCCCGAGACTGGATCCGTCAATCGTTTTAACCCGCAGGTACCTAATTACTGTCTGGTTCACGGGGACTAAAGAGTAAACACTGCTCAGATTTGTGTACTTACAAAGTTCTGAGGAAAAAGTGTACAGAGTTCGAGCCCGGGTGGTGCAGGTAGCGAGGTGAGCGGGAGAGGGCGCTAACCTCCTCTATATAACAGCGTCACGTTTGATTGATGTAAACGATCTTCCCACTTTTTAGTCTTAATGGAAGATTTGCATACTCCATGACCCGAAAAGCGAGTTAATGTGGCTTTTGAAGCCCCTCTTTTGCCTAAAAAGAAAGAAAGAAAGAAACAGAGTAAGTTCTCAGTCACATGAGATAAGCCTCGGGGGGACTTTCCTGAAAGTCCACAGAGCCTTTCCCCTCCCATTTAAACTCCACCTTTTTGGGGATTCGACCCGAGATTCTAAACATAACCTAAAAGCTACACGAATATTTATTTATATGACAATGGCTTCGTTGTTATAACGAACAAAATATAGTAATTTGATTGAAAGTTGTTACGACATTCTCTTCATTTAGAGCATTCCACTTGTTGACCTCCCAAACACGTTACGTTTCCAGCTCCTCCGGTGAAATCTTGCCTTATTTTCTGTCAATTTAAAGAGAGTAACCTTGTGCACCATGTTTATTCACCTTAGTATCTTGTACGTAGTGCGTAGATATGGCACAATTCAGGGTCAGAGCATGGCACTGGGACTGATCCTGACCCCCCCCCCCACTTTCCTATAGGGGTGGCAAGTGTGCTCCCTTAATCTGACCTCATAGCTTACCCATTTCAACTCTGATTGTGCGATGCCGATGCTATATAAGCTAACTCTACTCATGGTGTCACAGCCGATGTAGACAGTATTGAAGGCATCTTCGTCTAGATTTTTAAATGTTGTATGCCAGCATACATATGCAAATGATGTTAATCCTCTTAATGTGTGGTCTTGGTTAATTCTGAAGTTATATCTACTCTCAAGTCTCTTTTCTTGTAACTAAAAGAGTGTTACTCTTTTAGTTACCTTCTCTTTATGGGTAGATTCCTTCTGGTCTTTCTTCCTTTATCATCTGCATTACCTTACACTTATTTGGACTGAATTCAAACTGCAACTTTTGTACCCATTCCTGGAGTTTGCCAAAATGATCTTCCTGTGGCACACTTCAGTCCCCCGGCCCCTCTCAGCATTTACTCTCCTCATTAGCCTTGCATCATCTGTATGCATTAACATGTACAAGCTCACTCCCCCCGGTAGGATATTTACTTAAGATTATAAACAGCAACGGTCCTAGGAAAAGACCCTGCGAGACCCCACTTACCACACCCCTCCAGCCTGGCATATCCTCTCTGACTCAAACTTCTCTAATGTTCTTAAACGACCAAAGCTAGAACGTAAACCTGCACAGGGAAGACAAAAGTTCAAAGTTGATATGTAAAGTGACCCACTGAAGGCACAAAAGTTTCAAGATTAGTTTTAACATTATCTATGGAAGCCAAAACGTGTCAGCTGAAGCTGAAACTTCCAGCCGAACTCGCCAAGAACACTTGGAACTATCCAGGGAAACCCAGAAATCAGAAGTGGAACGAGAAAAATAATAGATCTACGGTGAACTTCTGCGGAACATGGAAACAGTAGTGCAATCCATGGATCAACTGCGCAACTCTGACGGCACCACGTACGAACCAATGGCACTTGGTCCGTAAAATTCGGTCGTTGCCAGAGAAAGTGCCATAAAACACTAGTCCAAGAGAAGTTGCCAGTGACGTGCAGAATTGCTTCTAGCCGACCGACTCATCATCTCTGCCTCCTACTCTTCCTCTTCTGCCTCATTTTGCTCTAACTCTTCCTTATGCTGCTGGAACGTCTGCCCCTACTGCTGGAACCACTACTATTCCTACACCTGCAGGAGAACGAAGAGGAGACGTTGCAACTTTTCTTCCTCCTCAACATCTTCCTTCTGATCCTACCTCGCATGAGCCAATGGGCTAGGAATATTTAATTTGAGTTTTACTTTTTATTTTTCCCCGACTCTAATAGTACAAAAAAGTGGTTTACTGGTGGTCAATCACTACATATTGTAACTTTTTTTGAAAGTACCAATATGTACAAGATTTTCAGGAGGATAGGCTGTCAGACTGGGAAGCGACAGAACAAAGGGGTGTGGATGAAAGCTGGAGACTCAAATGACCAATAGCAATTAAAAATAAAATTCTTCGGTGTAACATTAATGAATAAATGAAATGAGCTAAGATAAGATAAGCTAACTTCATATAGCTTTAATGTAGCTGGGTCGAGACACTAGCAGATGACCAACAGCTGAAACGGTGGGGCCCAGGAGCTAAACCCCGACTCTGCAAGCTGAAATTGATGAGCACAAACAAGTGAACACCTCCTCCCCCCCCCCCCTCTATCCCCCAACAAACTAGAAGTCTGACCTGAAGACCGCTACAGTATTTGACTTGCATACAAACATTTGCAAATCAATGAATTTAGAGGATAAGGGATGACAGAGCCTAGGAACAAAACAAGATGAACGAGGAACACTTGTTAGAGTCTAAAAACAATCTAGCGACAAAGTCTCGCACAGAAAGAACACATTAACAATTAAAAATCGGTAGTACATGTAAAGCCTAATGTAGACTTTTAGACTAACAGGAACCTATATACCAGCAGCCCGGGTAGGATTTGATACATATGACGAAACAAGATGTTATGAAAGAACACATGAAAATGTGAACAGTCAGGTTAAGTGAACACACGAACAAATATTAATCCAAATGTTAATATGAACGGCTGTGTGGGACAAAGCTTAATTAATATACGGACAAACGGACAACACGAATGGTATCATATACTGAGAGGAGCAAATAGCGGAAGAGAGCGAGAGAACTAATTACTGTACAGTGCAAAACTAATGAACCAGTCAGAGATGACTGAATGAACCGATTAACACGAAAAAGATGGACACAAAACGTGACTATAATCACCTTAACCCCCCCTCTCGCCCCCCCCCCACTAGGGATATATCTACCTGCCATCCACACCCCGCAGATACCCACCCCACCCACTACCTGCTATCCACACCCCGCAGATACCCACCCCACCCACTACCTGCTATCCACACCCCGCAGATACCCACCCCACCCACTACCTGCCATCCACACCCCACAGATACCCACCCCACCCACTACCTGCCATCCACACCCCGCAGATACCCACCCCACCCACTACCTGCCATCCACACCCCGCAGATACCCACCCCACCCACTACCTGCCATCCACACCCCGCAGATACCCACCCCCACCCACTACCTGCCATCCACACCCCACAGATACCCACCCCCACCCACTACCTGCTCCACACCCACCCCTCTTCTTACCTGGTCACCCTCGTCACGCTCCTCCACCCACTATCCGTCTAAGACCCGAGAAGCTTCCGACCAACTACGTCATAACTACTCTAAACCTATCCCAACTCAGCCCAACCCGACCCATGCACACTCAAGCCAACCTCAACTAACCTGTCTTAATCTGGCCAAAATAAAAATAAAATGTATTATTTTGCATATATGGAATATGACGTCACTGGCGTCATAATTTTATCTGGCACAGATTTCAGACTTTATACCAAGTTTCTTCTCCATCCCTCACCTGCTTGAGATCAAGAAGGTGATTCTCGTAAAGCCACAAAGTAACGTAAAGCCTTCAGTCTTCACTAGTGAAGACGGAAACTCCAACATTGGAATTTAAATTATTTCCATTTGTTTTCTTTATCCACTATCGACCCTCCCCCCCACACACAGGCCTATTCAATAAAGAAGCTGACCTGTCGGTGCTACTTGACCAGACCTAAGAGTACTTAACCGACTGGCCGAGTAACATGCAAGTCAGCTGGAAGGGAAGGGAACTATCAAGGGAAAGAAAGAAAAGAAAGAAAAGAATATACTATCCCGCACCATTTTATGGTGAGGGATAGTCTTCACCAAACAGCAGGTAAACACCCCACACCATACAGCAGGTAAACACCCCACACCATGCAGCAGGTAAACACCCCACACCATGCAGCAGGTAAACATCCCACACCATGCAGCAGGTAAACATCCCACACCATGCAGCAGGTAAACACCCCACACCATGCAGCAGGTAAACACCCCACACCATGCAGCAGGTAAACACCCCACACCATGCAGCAGGTAAACACCCCACACCATGCAGCAGGTAAACACCCCACACCATGCAGCAGGTAAACACCCCACACCATGCAGCAGGTAAACACCCCCACACCATACAGCAGGTAAACACCCCCACACCATACAGCAGGTAAACACCCCCACACCATGCAGCAGGTAAACACCCCACACCATGCAGCAGGTAAACACCCCACACCATGCAGCAGGTAAACACCCCACACCATGCAGCAGGTAAACACCCCACACCATGCAGCAGGTAAACACCCCACACCATGCAGCAGGTAAACACCCCACACCATGCAGCAGGTAAACACCCCACACCATGCAGCAGGTAAACACCCCACACCATGCAGCAGGTAAACACCCCACACCATGCAGCAGGTAAACACCCCACACCATGCAGCAGGTAAACACCCCACACCATGCAGCAGGTAAACACCCCACACCATACAGCAGGTAAACACCCCACACCATACAGCAGGTAAACACCCCACACCATGCAGCAGGTAAACACCCCACACCATACAGCAGGTAAACACCCCACACCATACAGCAGGTAAACACCCCACACCATGCAGCAGGTAAACACCCCACACCATGCAGCAGGTAAACACCCCACACCATACAGCAGGTAAACACCCCACACCATACAGCAGGTAAACACCCCACACCATACAGCAGGTAAACACCCCACACCATACAGCAGGTAAACACCCCACACCATACAGCAGGTAAACACCCCACACCATACAGCAGGTAAACACCCCACACCATACATCAGGTAAACACCCCACACCATACAGCAGGTAAACACCCCACACCATACAGCAGGTAAACACCCCACACCATGCAGCAGGTAAACACCCCACACCATGCAGCAGGTAAACACCCCACACCATGCAGCAGGTAAACACCCCACACCATGCAGCAGGTAAACACCCCACACCATGCAGCAGGTAAACACCCCACACCATGCAGCAGGTAAACACCCCACACCATGCAGCAGGTAAACACCCCACACCATGCAGCAGGTAAACACCCCACACCATGCAGCAGGTAAACACCCCACACCATGCAGCAGGTAAACACCCCA